TAATAATAATCATTGAAGGTATATTAAACATGTATTCTTACCTCGGCAGAAGAGTTAGCATGTGGTGCAACACAAACAGGGTTTCCCTCAAGATTAAGACTCTTGAGTGACGAGCACAGTGAAAGAAACTCTACTTGGGACAGGTCGTCAATCAGGTTTCCTTCCAAGTCCAAGACCTCTAGGTTTTCCAACATACTGACTGGGCTAACGTCACCGATGTCGTTAAATGCTACAAATAACTCCTGTCAATCAATCAGATTAAAACATGTCACATGATACTCCTGTCAATCAATCACATTAAGACATGTCACATGATACAACGAGCTGGACTCCTGTCAATCAATCACATTAAAACATGTCACATGATACAACAAGCTTGATTTGTATTGAAAAAATAGAAAACATGCGCGCATGCTGTGTGCAGTTATAAAACAGGGGTTAGCAGAACACGAGAGAAGTGTTAGGAGAAGCACAACAGGTAGTGGAGTGCTTCTCATCACTTCTCAAGTGTTCTGTCAAGGAGAGCGCATGCTCACTCTAGATCCGCTGACATTACAACACCAACATCATCATCATCATCATCATCAACACCATGACCAACATCACCATCGTCATCATCCTCATTGTCATCATCATCATCACCACGATCAACACTACCTCCATCATCATCAACATCAACATCACCACGACCAACACCACCACCACCATCATCAAAATGATTATCATTATCATTATCATTGACACATACCACAAGAGATGAAAGAGAGCTAATACCGTCCAAGTCAGTCAGTCCACACTGCGACATCCACAAAATCTTCAGGTTACCCAAAGAAGTCCCCAAGTCTCTATATTATAACGATAACAATGACGTGGAGAACAAATGTGAATATATGGGGGAAATGGGAATAAATGGGAATGACATAAGAGAAATTTTTAAATGGGATTAAAGGAATTGGGATGCAACCATGGATTCCACAGAGTGGCTCTTCTTCCACTTCAGGATTCAAATTGGAATTTAGAAGTTGGTTCTTACGGAGGAAGAAAAAACTGAAGAAGCTGGCCGCGGGGAGCCCTTGAAGCACAGGAGAGAACCAACGAGCAACTCTACTCCAGAGCTTGAACTTAGAAAAAAATTGCAGCCTGCCATAGTAAAGGAGCATGSTAAAAGGAGGTCATTCCAGTAAATTTTGCATGCCATTGTATTATTCATTTGGCAGTGTATCCTTATTTTCACCTGCAAAACTTGAAATTTGGCCTATCATTCGTCCACTGACAGGACGCTATTTCGAGCCCTGTACTCACATACGACACGGCTAAGTCTGGGAATCAAACACAAATTGCCGTGACGAAAGGGGAGTACTCCCACTGCCACCAACAGTGCTTTCCTTTAAAATCATAAATCTATRAAAACCTTAAAGTGCTTATAAGCCTTTACACAATATTTTCAGAATTGAATCTTTAGATAGTGAATAGTTGGTTGTGAAAATAGTTCGTCATTTGAATGTCGGGTCTTTGAGATA